CACACACACCCCCACACCCCCACCTATCCACCCCCCACAAGCTGCCCACACATCCCCCCCCCCACAAACCTATACCCACCCACCCAGAATATACAAGAGTAAGACTTGATTTTAAGCTCTTATACCATCACCTGTATGTACACTACACAAATGCCCATAAATCAGGACAAAACACTTTTTTTAAATCAAAGTAATGAATCATGTAGTACATTTGATTTTTAGAATATAATTTGGTATTTCTCTGGTTCCAAGATGGCAAACCCTTTTACTCAAAGGAGTACTTCTGGGTGGCAAGGAGAGGGACATCTAGTGGCAAAGGTCAGGGATTAGGGGGTGGGACTTTTGACCCTAAGATGGCAACCAGGGAGTAGGGCATCTGGGGCTACCCATGTGGCCCTTGATGGCTTGCCAAAACTCAGTAAGTGGCCCTCCGCCCAAAATAATTGCCCATCCCCAATCTAAAGTTCCAGAGTAACTGGGAAGACAAGTGTCTGCTTTTTGCCTCAGTTAATCTTCAAAAATTGTAGACAAGAATGGAATAAAATTATGGGTTTGTGGCATATTTAGCCAGTAACAAAAAACAGAAAAATATGATCCCTGCCTTTAGAGGAAAATGCTAATGCTTGAGCCATCTACACTATTTCTGCCATATTTGAAATAGCAGATATTTTTAAACTTAGTTATGAAAACTAGACACCTAATGTCAATGTTTTCTGCCTAGTGTGAGCAGGATATAACAATTCTAATGCTGGTAGAGAGTAAGTAATGTTTTTCATCATTGAAATGCGTCACTTGTTGCCAAATCTTAAATGTCATTTAAGCACTAAACCATTTAATATTTCCTGTTTACTCTTATTGGAACAACAGTTAGAAATTGTTTTTCTTCAAGTTTTAAAACAAAATATAAACTGTGTTTTAGTACTGCATTTTTTTCATACTAAACACCCCCAAATAAGACATGCACCTGGTTTTTGGAAGGCAGGTTATAAATAAATAAATAAAATTAAAAAATTAAAAAATTTCCAGAGTCATGACTTAGGGCTGGCTCTTTCATGGAGAGGCTGTATTGCATAATGTTGTTGCCAGCTTCTTTAAAGTGGTAAGCTGAAAGGATATGTGAAAGGTTTAAACTTTGGACATAGCCCTTCTTCTTTGCTGAGAGAGAAGCTGATTGCCATTTTACAACACCGTGTCCCTGTTCTTCAGTCTTGGTTAAAAAAAAAAAAATTGGCTTCCTTGCTTGAGAGACACCATTCTCAAGCAGTGGAGGGCTGATTTTGGAGGGGGGGCATTGGAGGGATATGTGTGGTATGCAAGTAGATATGATGTATTATAGCACATCATTTCTTTTTAAATGGTGTTGGTAGGGTAAACTCAGGTTCACCTGTTCTGGGAATAAAAAAGAATGCAGCCTAAAACTTGAAGGGCCATTTGGAAGTTGTACGAGCTGTGGATTATATAATAAAATAAACTGTAAATAAAGTTCTTAAAGGGACCCAGCCCAGCATGTATTTGTTCAAACATGCAACAGATTTGACTTCTTATAGTACTCCAAATTGGGAATGTTGGTGGTAAATTTACATGCCACAACAAATTGTGTGGCAGTGGTAGCACTGAAACTTTTATGTGGAAGCCAAGTATTGAATATTTTGTTTGGTATAGTGAAGCTGAGCAATATTTATAAAATGGATGCTTCTGAAGTTAGCAACTTGTAGTTAAAAACATCAGCACATCTATAATATGCCTTGATTGGTAGAGCATGGCAATTAAGCAACTTTGGTTTTAAAATTATGGGAACTCCCTGCTGTTTCTGATCTGATAATATACCATATTTTTTTCACATATGACCTTAAGGCCCCCCCCCCCCCCCCC